GAAATTAAATTATTCAACAAATAAGTTCTCATAATATTGGCAACACTGCAGCGCAGCTCAAGCGCAATTGCCTGTGTATATATATATATATATATATATATATATGTATATATGTATATGTGTGTGGGCTAATTATTATTGAAATATCAGTTGCTTGTAGGCTTCAGGGGATCTCGTAGTCGAGTAGTCTCAACTAGAGCTTTCTTACTTGTTTGCTATTGTTTTTAAGCTTAAAAAAAAGTAATTAGATCTACGTATTTCAGCAAAATTGTGCTACGGAAAAACTTGTAGATTTTGAGAGAGAGAGAGGTCACACTGTTAGAATTTAGCTTTACCCATGTGAACTGCAATTTCATTAGATTTATGTAGCTAGATGCATACATACATACATACATATGCACATACATATGTATGTACACCTGCCAATGTACATACATGCATGCATATGTATGTATAAAGACTGTAACAGCTGTTTTGCAAGTACTTATCCACTCGTGTATGTCCATATGTACATATGTCACATCTATGTATGTGTTTAGCCCAGCATGGTGTGCATTTCCCTGCCAAATATTTATGCATGTATGTACGTTGGTTTTTATTTTTAGCGCATGCGTATGAGTGCATGGAAATTCTGAGTATTATAGAAGTTTTAACTTTCAGCTCTCCGTGACGCCCATTTCATTGTTGTTTTTTTACGCTACTTAGTATTACTATATAAACATTGTATGTACGCATTTATATTTGGATAATATGTGATTAGTAAGTTATTTTATAAGCACAACCGAAACCGTGTCACATGCTGCACCACACACTATGCCTATGTACATACATACATACATATGTATGTATGAGCTTCCACTTAACACAAAATATGTATATATACATACATATATACATTTATTAAACACAAAAAAATCACACTTGCCAAAAAATATAAATAGTATACATATGTATGCACAAATGTACGTACACATGTATGTATGGACATAGCTACGTGAAATTTTCCAAACTGCTAGCTTATTTGCCATTTGAAGGCGTATAAGTCCACTCACCATCGGCATAAATATGATTTGTGTTGCTTGGTTGGACATGCTGATACATGACTTGATGTAGTGCACCAATATCGTCACTTTCATGTCACTTTAAACACTACAGGAGAATGAAAGCATTTGCGTTGGGCTCTGAGTATTTATACATATGTATGCATGTATGTATGTATGAATGTTCACAAAGCGCCAAAAGTTGCGTCGCTGCCACCGCCGTTACTGGTGATACTACTGCTATTGCTGCGGCCTACTGCTGGCGCGCTGCTGCCACATACTATACATACATATGTATGTATGTACATATGTATGTACTTATATATACATACATAAGTATGTAGCTTTTACACCCTGTTTTTGTATAGAGGTTGATTACACTCTGCAACACAAACAAGTACACACATACGTAAGCAAACTAAATCACAGTCTGTTTATTTCTGATTTTTATATACATACATATGTATTTTTTGTCACTTTACTTATAAGCTGTAAAATAAATTAACTCTTTGATAAAACAAAAAAAAAAGTTTAACAAAATAATTTCACATTGATATATATATATATATGTACATAGAAACATTTGTGTAACACCGGCAATGCACTGCATGTATGCATGTCTCTTTCTCTCACTCTCTGTGTCTATCGCGCTCTCTCTCTCTCTATCTATTCTCTCTATATCTAACAGAGTGTTTGAATACTTAAAGTTAAATGTCTGTACTTTATTCGGCGTGTCATAATAGCTGTTGAAAAACTGAATGATGTGAACAATATCTTATAAACGAATTGTCGTTGAAAGTAGTATTAAGCGGAGGCTAGTTAACGTACACATGAGTACACATTCTATGTATTTATGTATGTATGTACGTACATACATATATGTATCTTTTTATGTACATTTACATAACATTATTAACCTTTCTTGTTATTAATTTTGTAGAATAGTGTTTTTATTTGCTCCTTGGTAAAAATTCTGATATTGCTTTTCTCTTTGACGAGCTTTTGGCAGCCCTTAAAGTTAAAAGAGAAAAAGGTTTGTATATACAGTATAAGAAAATGTATTGATGGTATTACTGCTGTTACATACGTACAATGTATGTATGTATATTCATGTTTATAAAGTTTGTTATCCACTAAGTTTTAAAACTATTCATAGTTAGTGGTCTTAAGCATTGGAATCCCACGATTGAGTGATGGTAAGTTATGTCACTAACCATAGAACCACTAACCATAGAACACATACATATGTAGACTGGACAAATAGTATAAAGCTTTTTGCACACTTTTTTGAGCTTAAGCACTCGGCTCCTCACTTTTAGGTTCGGCTACGAAAATATACGAAGGCATAATCATTTCGCTTCATGCGCTCAACAGAGATGGTCGACTGTCGAACAATAGATCCCTATTAACTTGATTTTTCCCTTGCTCTCTCTCACTTTCGGTGCTCTCTGCTCTCTCAAATGTGTATACATCTGTATGTATGTATGTATACATGTGAGCACAAGCAGCAGCTCACAAATTGAAAATTATTCGCGTTGGACTCCCGTTTTTCTCCTCAGTGTGGACAGTA